CCTCTGCAATTTAGACATTTAGGGAGACCTTTTCTCAAAAACAAAACAAAAAAAGTTTTACAGTTGTGTAAAGCCCCTGCATTCAATCCCCACTACTGCAAACCAAACCAAACCAAAACAATTTGTTTGCTAAACTGAACCCTTTATACTTCAGCCTGAAAGTTTTAGAAGATGTTTTTATTTATATATTTGTTTTGTAATCCTCCTGCCTCAATTTTGCAGAGTACTGGGATTATAGGTGGATGCCAACATAAAATTGAAATCTATTCAAGAAAGTTTCTGTCGTGAATAAAGTGATTACTTTGGATTTAGAACAAGCCTGGAGGCAGGGATAGCAGGTAGGAGGCTGACATAGTGATCTACCATCCACGCTGTAGTCAAATTAAACTTTTACAAGTATCTCCTATGATTGAACTCTAAACTTTTTTGGATGGGTGGGTATTGAGACAGGGTCTCACTATGTAGTTCAGGCTGGCCCTGAATTTACTGCATAACCCTAACCTCAAACTCTTGGTGATCCTCCTGCCTCTGCCTCTCAAGTTCTGGGATTACGGGCGTGTGCCACCATGCCAGGCAGTCTCAAACTTTTGATCCTCCTGCCTCTACTTCCCAGGGTGCTGGAATTATAGGTATGTGCCACCTTGCCTAGCTTTTATTACATTTTAGATGACATTTATCCTTGCAGAAAAAATACCTCCAATATTCTAGGTCAGACAAGTCCACTCTTACAGGCCTGTGCCACCATGCCCAGCTTCTTGAACTTTTGGAGCTGAAATAGTTTACAGAAACTCTAATTCCCAGAGGCTAAAGCAGGAGGATTGTTGTGAGTTTGATGCCACCCTGGGCAACAGAGTGAGCTCAAGGACAGGCTGAACTGCACAGCAAGACCCTGCCTCAAAAAGACAAAAAAAAAAAAAATTCTAATTTCCCTCTCACTGTACACAAGGAGATGTGGTATGGTTAGCATGAAGAGATTTGCCCATGAATTTATAGATTAGAACAAGCAGCGCTGCAATTCAAGTCTAGGATGCTGTATTTATTCTTCCCAAAAAACTTCATGGATTTCTACACTTGGCAGTGTCATTAAATACAGCTGCCCAACGGCTTGTCACTTGCTCCCTTTGGAATTCAATTTCTATTTCTTAGTTGGACGAATCTCCTTAGGGAGCCTCTGCGGTTCTTCAGTTCCTGCTTTAAACCTTGTTCTTGGGCTTAAGCTTTCTGGAAAAATCAACTCTGGATTGTAAAACATGTCACATTTCATCCAGCACATTTGGGCATTCACCACAAGAGGAAATTTAGGTCATCTTTCCCACAGCGTTGCTATGTGGCTACTTATATAATATGCATCTTCAACTCCAGACTACAAGCTTCCCAGGCTTTGAGTCACCGGTGCTCCCCACAGGGCCTGGTGTAGTGGTCCCGTGCAGCAGGTACTCAGTGTGTGTTTGTAGGGTGAATAAATCAGCAGCATATATAAGGATGCTACCTATATAAATATATGCTATTCACTGAACAAATATTTGTGAGAGCCTGTATTGTGCTAGATTAGAGCAGGCTCACATTCAGTTCATATTACTTGTGTAAACATCTAGCCATGGAAGGGCAGATGTGTCTTTCTCTCTGTGTTGGGGAACATTCAAATAAATTTTAGGTGGATTGAAGTTTTAAAATAAAAACTGAAAGTGTAAAAGTATCAAAGGAAAGCAAATCTTTTTAAGGATTTTGACACACACACAAGGATATACATTAGGGACAGAGATATAGCTCAGTGGCACAGTTCTCGCCTAGCAAGTGTGAGGTCCTGAGTTCAATTCTTGGTACCAAAAAAAAAAAAATACATATTAACAGACAGTAATCTAACAAGTTGATACTATATTTTTTTTCCAGTACTGGGGATTGAACCCAGGGCCTTCCCACTGAGCTACATCTTCAGTCCTTTAAAAAATTAAACAAGCTGGGTGTGGTGGTCCATGCCTGTAATACCAGCACTCAGAGGAGTGAGGCAGGAGGATTGCCATAAAGTCAAGGCCAGCCTGGACTACATAACGTGAGTTTGCAGGCAGCCTGAACTGCATAGCTAGACCCTGTCTCAAAAAAAAATCTATATCTATATCTATATCTATATTAATACAAGGTATTGCTAAAGTCCCTTAGTTGCCCAAAGTGGACTTGAATTTGTAATTCTCCTGCCTCAGTTTCCCAGATTGCTGCAATTAAGGGTGTGTGCCACTATGCCTGGCTTTAAATCATTATTTCTAGGGAGGGGAGGGGCAGGGGAAGTAAAAAGAATTAAGATGTGTTATGTTCGTGTACCAACTCCAAATCATGCTGTAATTATGTACTGCTAATGTGTACTAATAAAAACAAAAAGTAAACACACTGTTTTTGATCAGCCCTTATATTTTGCTACTAGAAAAATGTTGCTAAAATTTGCAAGGTACATAAATCAAACATAAGCAAATCATTATTTCTGAGTATGTCTTCAAGAGCTGGCAGGAAAAAGCCGGGCGTGGTGGCGCACACCTGTAATCCCAGCACTCGGGAGGCTGAGGCAAGAGGATCGTTGCGAGTTCGAGACCAGCCTGGGCTACAAAGTGAGCTCAAGGTCAGCCTGAACTGCATATCGAGACCCTGTCTAAAAGAAAAAAAAAAAAAAAAAAGGAGCTGGCAGGAGACTGAATAGACTAAGTGGGCAGATCATCTCTCAGTGCGGGCAGGCACCTCCCATCAACTATGGGCTGGGATAGAAGGAAAAAAAAGAGATGGAACTGTTTTCTTGTCTCTGGAGCTGGGATGCTGTCTGTCCCTTGGACACCAGCTCTCCAGGCTCTCCAGCCTGTGCCCTCCAGGACTTCCATTTGAAGCTCCTCAGTTTGCAGGCTTTGGCTTCAGACTGAGTTACATCATCTGACTTCCCAGGTCTGAGGTCTCTGGGTGTGGACTGAGCCATGCTACTGGAATCCTAGGGTCTCCAGTTTGCAGACAGCAGAAGCTGTGATCTTGTGAGCCTCTTACTCTAGTTAATTCCCTTTCATCTGCCTACTCTGCCTGTATTAGGTCTGTTCCTCTGCAGAACCCTGAGTAGTAAGGGTTTGGGTACCAGTAGTCCTACAGGAGCAGCATTGGGGTTTCTGGAGTTGGTTTTCTAACCTGATTAAATCTAAACGTGCTAAGAATTCTGCTTCTAATAGTACAGAAAGCACTGACTGTCATTGGAAATACTGGAAATTTGGAGGTAGGGTATGGTATTTACATTTCATGAGTCCAAGCTGGGACCTGACTACTAGTCATAGGACCTATTTAATATTAATTCCAAGTTTGTTGACCACCAGCAAACTGGCATCTGCAGCTAAACTTCTAGAAACTACACCTCTAGAAAGTATCTTTCCCCGAGTGGTAGAATATTATCCCCATATTGTCAGGAAGATCTCAGAGGTAGCTAGGAAAACCCAGATGCTACTTGGATGCTGAGAAAATTCATAAGTACCCAGGGCTGCTAGGCATTCCCAGGAGGAGCCTGGCAGCCAGGACTGACATGCTCTTTTTTCTTTTCTTTTTTTTTTTTTTTTTTTGCACAGCCAGTGACTCCACGGGTAGCAACCCGTGCTGTGAAGAAGAAGCTAATATTAAGGTCCTAGCGAGCTGGAGCGGGGTCCTGCATCATTCTCTTCTCTGTCCAGGCAGACTACACTAAGCCCACGCCGAAATGCTTTCCCGAAAGATCTGTGCTAGGGGTGGCCCTGTGGGAGCCTGGAGGGCGAGGAAGCAAGGTCTTGTTGGGGATGTCCTCCACAGAGCAGTCAGCTCCTTCAGTTGTATACATGGCAACGAGGCATGAAAGCTGAAACTGGAAGGAAGTGCTTTTTGAGAGAATTCTGTTTTCAACACGATTTGCAAATTTTTAATTTTTTTTTGGAGACGGGCTCTTGCTATGCAGCCAAGGCTGGCACTGAACTTGCCTTGATCCTTTTACCTCAGTGTGGGGTCACAGGCGTGCACCACCACACCTGGCTAGATTTGTAAATTTTGAGGGCATAAATCAAATCATATCTGGTTTTTAAATCCCGGACACTTCCCCTTTTTTTAAAAAAGTATGTACTATTGCCTAACTTAACAGTTGAGTAGGAATTGTCCATTATATTTAGTCAAAGCACATTAGGTATCAAATACAGTAAGGGAGTTATTATTATTAATTACTTTGTAATGGTGTGAATGTATCTCTTGGAGGAGGTTGTAGAAAAAACTGAAAACGTATTAAGTTTAATAAAATAAAAGCAAAACGAAAGAAAAAGATAAACTAGAAAGACGCTCCTATCGTTGACGCCTATTTATTACAGGTGCTTTTAGTTGTTTTTTGAATTTATTCCAGTAGGTGTCAGTGCTGAGTTGCGCTAAAATCTGTTTCCCAACTGAAAATTTGTACTTAGTAAAAAATGTAAAAGGTTCCCTGAAGACTTCCTATGATGCTTTGTTCATTGGAGATAGGAATTTTACTTTTCTGAAGTTTTCAAAAGAGACAGGGTCTCACTATATTGCCCAGGCTGGAGTACAGTGGCTATTCACAGGCGCGATCCCACTACTGATCAGCACGGGAGTTTTGACCTGCTCCGTTTCCGACCTGGGCCGGTTCACCCCTCCTTAGGCAACCTGGTGGTCCCCCGCTCCCGGGAGGTCACCATATTGATGCCGAACTTAGTGCGGACACCCGATCGGCATAGCGCACTGCAGCCCAGAACTCCTGGACTCAAGCGATCCTCCCACCTCAGCCTCCCGAGTAGCTGGGACTACAGGCGCGCGCCACCGCGCCCGGCGCTCGAGTCCGCGGCAGGAGCCTACTAGAGCCTGAGCTGTATGACGTCATCCACAGCCCGCCTACGGCGTCCCAAGGATTTCGCTCCGTTCACCCTTGCAGAAGCAGTGTTACCACAGTGCGCATGCGTCACCTTTCAGTACGGCATTGTGGGTAAAAATGTGTCTCGGAAGAATTTGAAGAGCGCATGCGTGCCGCAGCTTCTTCCTTTTGCCTCCTTGTACCTCTGGAAGCAACATGGGTCACCAGCAGCTCTACTGGAGCCACCCGAGGAAATTCGGCCAGGGCTCTCGCTCTTGGTGAGAACGGATTGTGGTTTCAGGGGAGGGTTGCTCCGAGTCGGGAGGTTGCTGGAAATCCCCAAGTAGAGGAACCCGCGAGTGGCGCGTGGGAGCGGACAGCTCGGAGCTCCGCCATTACCCGCCCGGGGCCGGCCGGGTGCGGAGCCGTGCACTGCCGTGCGGCCTGCCTGTAACGTCTTGTCCGCCTTTTTGTTCGTGCAGCCGCGTCTGCTCAAACCGGCACGGTCTGATCCGGAAGTACGGGCTGAACATGTGCCGCCAGTGTTTCCGTCAGTACGCCAAGGACATCGGCTTCATCAAGGTGCGCGTCGTCCTCCATGTTGGCCCGAGCCGGGCCCGGCCGGTCCGCGTTTGCTTGGCAGGGCGGTTGGTGGCGGGTGACACTTGAGCATCGGATCGGTGTAATGGGGAGGGTGGAGGACTGAAGTCTTCGTAACCCTTCTTCCTTTGCAGGTCTTAGATGTCATGTATTACGTTGGGCAAAATAACCCACTGTATACTTATTACTGTAGTTTCAATTTTACTTTTTAGCCAGGTAATACGTGTGAGTTACTGAAAACGTCATCCCTAAAATAAGCTTAAGCTTGTAGGGGGGGCCACATAGACCTTGTTGGGATTCAGTAGAAAAAGGATCTTCTGTTTAACAGTTGTGTGACATGGGTCATGTTAATGGTCAAGAAGATAGCGTTGCTCAAGGTGCTTTTTTGTTTTTTGTGTTTTGAGACAAGTTTCACCATGGAGTCATTCAGGCTGGTCTTGGACTCTGATCCTCCTGCCTCAGCTTCCCAAGTGCTGTAATGACAGGCATGTACCACCAGGTCCAGCTGCTCAAATGCTTCATGGTGGTATGCCTGGCGCCACTATGTAGGAGTGCTTGTAACTCAGTGGGAGAGAACATGTGGCAGATGAAAGCAGTAAAGCTAACCCAATAACTAGCTTTGTGACCTTAGTTTCTCCCGGGCTAAGACTGTAATTAAACTATCTATTTAATAATCATCCTGAGCATTTGATACAAATCCTTTTGTGTTGCTTTATTTTGGGAAATACTGCTTTGAGGGAAGGAGTAAGAATAAAGATACTAAAAAATGAGTCTAAAATATAGTTGAGGTTCCCAGAGTCCTTTAGGTAGGCATTCAAATGCTTAAAAAACTTAGTTTTGGTGTAGTGAGTTTGATGGGTCTTAATTTCTGTTGTGAGTGTCATTCTGTAGTGAGCCACTGTCTGTAAGAATCCAGTTTAAACTGAAAGCATTTAAAAATCTTTTCTTGTGTGCTTTTTTTTTTTTTCCAGTTGGACTAAGTGATCTTTCTTCGATGGATTATCCAGGACGTACCCTCAATGAAAGAGACCATGCATACTCTTTGTACATAAAATAAAAAATTTAAAAGCTTCCATTTATGTGTTGTGAGTAGTATAGTTGACTGATTAAAGAAATCTCCTTTTCAAAATCTATTGTGTAGCTGGGAGTATAGCTCAGTGGCATGGCACCTATCTGGCAAACGTGAGGTCCTGAATTCGATTCCCAGACCCTCCCTCCCTCAAAAAGTGTTCTTATTAATCTTAACCAATGTGTTTTCAAAATATGTGGCTTATTTTCCATCAGTTGAGAACTTTGGTAAATACCTGTTCTTTGAAAAACACTTTGTTGTATAAAATGCTTTCTACGTACAAGAATATTCAACACAAAACGGAGACATAGTCTGAAGAATAATTGATAGACTGCTGTGACCTGGGGCAGTAGAAGTAAAAACAGTTGAAAAAGGGTTTTGGGGAAAGAAACTTGTCATTGAAGGGGTAATTTGGAGCTTTTAAGTGGGTGGGTTGCCAGTTGTCTAAATAATGGTCTTCAAAGCTATTTACTGAGGGCTTCTCAAAGGGTGAAGTGTGGCTTTAGTAATAGGTAGTGCAGGTAATAAGGCGGAATAAAGCTAAGCTGCAGTCTTTGACCTCTTCAGCACCTGGGAGTACATTAGCAGTGCAGTCTTGGGTTCTCCCTTGTCTATGAGTATTTGAACAGGAGACCCTGTGTGCGTGACCTCTGGATGATGAGTTTCCAGGCACTGAGGATTCTAGATTGAACAAAACTTAGCAGTTTTGAGGACAAGAAAGGTGTCACTGGAAGCAGTGTGTAGTCTTGAGCATTCCCCGAGGCAGGAGTGTTTCAAGTTTGATCCCAGCCTGTGCAACCTAGTGAGACCCTAACTCAAGAGGGTGGGGGTATAGCTCATAAAATTGGCTTTATTATGTACATTTTTTTTGCGGGGGGTGGGCAAGGTCTTGTGTAGTTCACAGGTGGTAGCTTGAGTGGAAAGATCTGTGTTAACTGCAGCTAAACTGTTTCTTACAAATTTTTTGAGAACAGATGAAAGAACATGGGCAGTGTACCTCCCGGGACCTCAGAAGAAGCTTGTGGGATATAAGGACACTCAAGCTTGCATTTCATAGCTTACTGCTACTCCTGGTGGAGGCCCAGGAGTCTGATGATAAACTGCGGTTGCTACTGGGGAATTGTCCAGAAAGCCAGCTTTTAATTCAGTCTGCTACAGAGCTGGAAAGTGGTCAGACCGAGGGTGTAGCGAATTTTCTGGTAATGGAATTGAGCTGGGGGTTGTAGATTGTGAAAGTGGATGAGAAGCTGTTAGTCAAGCAAATGTAAAAATTTTATTTGTATTTTTTTGTCTTTTTGAGACATGGTCTTGCTATGCAATTCAGGCTGGCCTTGAACTCAACGATCCTCCGGAGTGCTGGGATTACAGGCATGTGCCACCACACCCAGTTTAAATGTAAAAATTTGAGAGATTCAAGTGAAAGAATCTTGAAACTCATTTAGTGAGTTAGGTCTGGGGTGGGTTTGATGTGAATCTTGGATATCCGGTCTCTGGTTTGGCGGAAGGGGCCTGTATAGATTATGTACGAGATGAGCAGTGCTACGGGGAGCCTGGGGGAGGGAAACACTAGCTAGTCACCGCCCTTGGGTGTATGGTGACTAGAGGGAGCTGGTGTGGGTAGGTATTCTAGATTCTTACTGCAGGATGAATCACACCAGGTAAAGATTGTTTTGAAATTTGTTACTGTACAAGACGTTACGCTAAGGGTTTTGTATGCATTTCCTGTTCCTTTTTTACTTTTGTTTTTTGAGACAGGGTCTCACTATGTAGTGCAGGCTGGCCTTGAATTTAGAGGAATCCTGCCTCAGCAACCTGAGTGCTGGGATAACAGGCATATGCCACCACACCCAGCTTACATTTCCTTTTTCAGGTGTTAGAATACTTTTTGGTAAATATCCTTGTTGCTTAGCTGAGGAATTTGAAGCTTAGTGATTAAGTAATTTTCCCCAGTTCTCCTAAAGGAAGACAAAACTGGGCTGGAGCTTGGTCCCTTCTGGCACTAGTTCTTAATGCTCTGAACACTCATGCGTATGTAAGGTTAAACGACTATTTACTCCTTGTCCCCAAATATTTAGTTGGGGGGCTCGGGCTATATTTTTCTTCCTCTTTAGCACAGCACAGAGCAAGATGCCTTGCAGAAGGTCCGCACTTGTTAGGGAACTGAATAACTTAGAAAAAACCCAATTAACGTTGATGGAAAAACATAATAGATGCTATTAAAAGAGGTCCAAGTTTGGAGTGCAGATGATAAACAGATTTGGATCCAATTTTAATCTGGGCTTCTGTAACAGCACTGGGTGGCTTAAACAGCGGGCATTTATTTCTCACAGTTGTGGAGGCTGGGAAGTCCAAAGTCAAAGCACTAGATTCTTTGTGTGTCTGACAAGGGTGTTTCCAGGTTCCTAGATGGTACCCTTGCTGTGTCCTCACATGGTAGATGGGGCAAACCAGTTTCCTTAGACCTAGTTTATAAAGGCACTAATTACATGGGAATGAAGCTCTCACCCCCAAAGGCTTGACCTAAAACCATCACCTTTTGGAGTGTGGTGGCATGCACCTGGAACCCCAGCACTGTCGAGGAAGCGGCAGGAGGACTGCATATTTCAGGTTAGCCTGGGTTGCATAGTGATACTCTGACTAAAAAAACAAACAAAAACCCAAACCAAAGCAAACAAAGAAAGAAAGTAAACAGAAAAAGAAAAACCAAATCAAGGTATCACATTAGTGCCAGGTGTGGTGGCATATTCCTGTAATCCCAGCACTTGGAAGGCTGAGGCAGGAAGATCACTGAGAGTTCAAGGCCAGTCTGAACTGAAGAGTGAGACCCTGTCTCAGAAGTAAAAACAATCACCCCCTCAAAAATAAAAGAAAAAACAATCACCCTGAAATTAGGATTTCAACAAATGAATTCTTTGGGGTGCAGGTATTTAGGTCATAGCAGCTCCTATAATGTAATAATTGTGAGATATAACCCCCATTTTCCAAGTGAGGCCATTGAGGCACAGAGATGAAGTAATTCTCCCAAGATTGAACAGCCAGTGAGATTCAAATCAGAAACTGCTGTTCTACTCAACAATATATTCTAACAATAAAGAAATGCTTTAGTAAATGTTGGTATTCTACAGAATAGAGAAATAATTTTCAGTAGAAAGTAGAAAATTGTATATCTGGTACAATTTTACTCTATGAAAGAAGGTACACAAAAAATATGAAAGGAAAATAAAATACAGAAAGAAGAAAATATTTCAGTATGTTAGGAGTGACTGCCTTTGGACGATAGAATTACGGGCGATGTGATTTGATGTGGCATCAGATCCCTTGAGGGCTAGGGTGTCCCGTGACTGTGATATACAGTGTCTCTGCTCCCAGTACGGCTAAATAGGCTTTCACTCCGCTCAAACCAGCTCGTTCTAGTTTTAGATTGCTGTGACAGTAAGTTCTTTCTCTGTGTCACTATGATTTCCTTCTGCTGATTTTGATTGCCACCCATTGATATGACTTCCATGTAATCCTCTACAAACCAAGTCTAAGCTTGTCTCTACAAGAAAAAAGAGGTATAAATATTGAAGTCTGAGTGTTCGTGTGTTTTCCTAGAATCTTCTTATTTCCAGGATAACCATTCTTGATTGTTTCAATGTTCCTCTATGGCGGCATGGTTTAGAAGGATCTTAGGTGTTCCTGAACTAGCTCCACTTCATGTAGTTCCTGATAGCATCTAGATAGCATACTTCACAAGGCAGCAGTGCAGGAAAAGTTAATGAATGAATGAATGAGTAGATTTGGTAATGACTTTAATTTGATTGGGCAGCATTGCTTCTTCACTTCTTATGAGTCCTTTTCTACCATTCCAGAAAGACCAGAGACCTTGGCCTTCAAACAGCAATGGTCTGCATAGCTAATACCCCCAACAGTGTTAAGGCAATCAGCTTTGCATAACCTCTGCCTGTGACCATTCTTGTTGAAAACTATCTTTGCTAGTAATTGGTACCTTAAGGATATGTGCGCTTTTTGGGCAGGCAGAGAAAAACTCTTCTAGTGATGAAGCAGGTATGCTGATCGTGTAATAGCTCCTCTCCCCAAGACTCCACCGCCACACTGAGCATTAACAGCAAGTGCTAGAAAAATCAATAAGCCTTTTCCCAGGGAACCAAAGATATGTGGCTTCCTAACAGTAGCCCATAAAGAGTAATATCTCATTATATTAATGCCCTAAATAATGATAAGATTGCAAATTAAAGGATTAGTTGACAGAGTGGTAAACATTCATGACAGCACAGACAAATCAATAAAATAATAAAATAAAAAGAAACGAAACCCATCTCTTGGCAGTCTATTTAGTTGTTTTGTAGACTGAGCCTGGGTCACCTTGTATTCTCATTTCATGTACTCATGAGTCCCATTTCATGGTGACACTTGTGCATCTGTTCTTCCTCTGATGATAATTAACAGTTATTAACATTCATGAAGATTAAGTGTGGACATCTAGCACAGACGGTGTATGCAGTCAACCACAAAAGAACAGGCTTTGTGAAAACAAATTCATGTTTAGAACTACAGTGAAAAGATAGAGGTGGTCCATTCCGCCAGCACTGACGGGCTTGGTGGACCCCAGGGGTGTTCACTGCATGTACAAAGGGTAGGGGAGCCAAGCATCAGTGTTACAGGAGTTTGCTTAGGCCAGTTCTGTCAAATATTTTAGCTTCTGGAGTTCTGCGCAGTCCTTTGACTAGGCATTGTTAGTAGTGTCCACTCAGTCTCTCAGGGAGAAGGCATCTTTTCCATCATGGACTGAAAAGGGGACATCCAACTTTTTGTGGGGCACTTTAATTCTCACATTCTGCTATCTTTTTACCTTAACCTGTTAAGGTAGAAGCCATTCACAGCCCTTGGGAGAAACACTGTACTCTCATTGGGTGTGGTGATGCGCACTTGTAATTCCAGTACTAGGGAGGTTGAGGCAGGATGATCAATAGTTCAAGGCCAGTCCAGATTACATAGCAAGTTTA